TTGATTCTTTTCTCGGGAAATAAAAAGCAATTTTAACTCTTGTGACAGTAAGTCCTTTTTCTGCTTTGATAAGAGAGAAATGAGCTAAATCTCATTATTTGACTAGAGCAGCCCTACTGAATCAAAGGGACATACAAAAATGTTGATCTAACAAACCATATCCATTCAATGGGTCTACTCTAGCTGTCATGAATAACTGGATTTAGCACAATATATTTTGTTAGAACTTTGTATTCTTTTGAATGAGAAGGGCCCATAGAATAGGAAGCACAGCTGATATGCATTTCCTGTCCCCCCCCACATGTTTTACTGTCATATCCAAAATAGCACTTTTCCATTCCTTTCCTGTGAGGATCTGATACAGATCTTCCCTGTACCAGAAGATGTAGAAGATTTCTTTTAGATGTGATTGGAACACAAAGAGAATGAAAATTAACTTGCTTATAACACCCCCCCCCCTCAAAATGGGTTCAAGAGCAAATTACAAAAACAAAACAAAACAAAATTCACCACAAAATAAGAGGAGGAAGTAGATCAAATGTCACATTATTCCATTTTCTTACTTTTGTTTCATCTGAAAAACAGCATCAATAGGTACCTGGAAAGTCCTAACCCATGAGTGATACTTCCAGGGCTCAAGCCTACCAGGAATTCATCAGAAGAGAATAGGCTGTGGTTAATTCGAGATGAGAAAAAGATTCTCTGAGCTTTGGTGAAATTAAGCCCTGCCACTGATCTATTGCTGCCAACCGAGAATTCCTCCTGTCTTAGAATAATCCTTAACACTGAACCATGTTTGTCTGTAAGTGGCTGACCAAAATGGTAAGAGTTAAGTGATATGTTCAAACTTTAGTGGAAACAGTGGCTATCTGCGCCTTCCTGATAGACAGGACACTTTGATTCAAATTCCAATTACTCTGGTGGTTCTTAAATGTAAGTACTTATGTCTGGATTTTCACACCTGCTAAATAAAGCTGTGCTGCTCTCTTCTACATAATGACTGCTTGTATTCAGGACATCTGAAAAATTAGGTTATTATATATGAAGATGTTGGCTTAGAGCTGACTGATCTTAATTGGATTTCAGGTAGATTTCCTTTCACAGAAGAACAAATAAGATATTCTTTACTGGATGCATAATCAGAGCTAGCCTTCAGGGTCTGAAAAGCAGTGGCTGTTCCCCCTTCTCTTGTTGACTCTAGGGATCTAGAAATGTCAAATCTAATCCTTTACTTCATTCTAAAAAACACTCCTTAGCTATTTTGTCTTCTGAAGACATCCTTGAAAATTTAAATTGATCATTTGGAGCTAGAAGTGTAGAATGTTTCCTCCCTTTATGTTACTTATGAATCATCATAGACATATCACTGAGGATAGTACTGCTAGCTCCATGTCCACCACTTTTCTCTTAGCGACTTGATTGGAAGCTCCCTGGTAGCCAATGTCTAGAAATTAAATCCAAGTGACCCCTGCCCCAAGGAGTGGCAACTCAATAGCTTGAGTAATAGTATCATTAGAGCAGAATGAGAACTAGCAATGTCAGTCCAAATAGATAACCTTCTGGCTGACCCACAACACACTCAGGTTAGCTGCAACCTTTACAAAGTGTAGGGTGATAAACCTGAGAAAGATTTGCTTCAACAGATCTTTAGCATGAATCAATTTGAGTTGCCACGACAGGTATGAAAACAGCTGCAATACTATCATGAAAAATGCTTTCTGATGTTGTGGTTTTAATAACAAGGGAGTTACCCCCCCCCTTTTGTAATACTGGTATACAATCACTGAGTTTAGAGAGACCCATTGCGTCCTCTAGTGCAACCATATATATCATAAAACAATGTACAGTATCTTCATATATCTCAAGCTGCATCGCCTTAGACAGTATATTTGGACTTCACTTGAAAACATCTAAGAAAGGCGATGTAGCGTTCCTAAATAGCTTGTTGTATTCCTAAACTGTTCTTACTTTCTCTAAGTTTCTCATTTCCCCCAAATTTAAAGATTTTATTTATTTATTTAGTGTCATTTGTAGGCTGTCTTTCTCCCAATATTACATGTCATACCGCTGGAAAGCTCAGTGATAGACATGTGGAGGAATAAAAAAAGAATCATGATGTTTATAGACAATTGCTGATTCATCGAATATTCCTCCCTTTGTATTAATCAATTCCAGAGACCCCAACAAATACAAAGGGACGAATATTTACCTCTTTTTAATTCGTCCCCATAGGCAGAGATGGAAGACTAGGCTGCCGGAACAGTAATGGAGACCGTGGCAGCAACAGCGGTGGCAGCAGCAGGAGAAGGTAAGGAGGCAATGGGGGCAGTAGGAAAGGGGTGCGGGGCAGACTGTGGGGGTGGAGTGGGGCTCAGGGAGCCAAAGGGCCCCTTGTGGCTCTGCAGTTCTAAGACCAGATCACATTAAAGATTAGATATCCTCACAGTAAAGGATCAACAAATATCCTCCCTCTTCTAATGTTTTATTTATTCAATATTCAATATCAGATGCATTCAGATACTTAATAGCTTGAAAACTATCAACATACTTTTCATCATGCTTCTTTTATTTAAGTTATATACATCAAAATGTTCCAGCATTTCCTTATATAATTTGCTTTTTTATACCACAATCTGTTTCCAGATGTTTATTTACATCGTTTTTATTGTACACTGTTAGGCATTTGTAATAGATATTTATAATTTGGGACTTAAACTGTTTTCAGAGTAGATTGTTAGCCATTGTGGGCACCCATGGGGAAGAGTGGGAGAGAAATGTAATATTAATATCAACAACAGCAACAACAACAGCAATATCATCAACAGCTGTAATAGTAACCATGTTTAAAACCTTCTCTCAGTTTCTAAAGTTCTGTGATGTTCTCTCTTTTGGGGAGGGGGCTGGGGTAGTAATCAATTAGCTGTAAGTTGGGAAACACCATATAGGTTGTATAAAAATCTGATTGTAATAATTAAGTAATGATAAATTACCAGCTAGGAAACATTTTGAAAAACCTTTCATAAAGAATTACAGCCTATCTCAGACTGTAATTGAAAACCCATTTGAGAAAGGTATAAGCCTTTACTTGTACTTTGCAAGAGCACTAAGTTGATTTTGACAACAGTCTAAGCTTTCGCTGCTTGTAGGGAAGGAATGGTACTATACAAAATATAAACAGTAATGTTTTGCACAGAGAATCAGTGTTTGTGTTTACTAGGGGAAGACTATTGTTTCTATTTCCAGAGGAAAAAGAGCCTGACAGGTTTTTTTTAAAAAACACACATTATAGGAGCTCAGATTCTCATGTGTACTCATATGTGGCTATGCCATGCACATTTTGATTCATGAACATATAACATACAAACTGGTAAGTCACTTCTTTTTTTTAAGGTTGTATCATTACACAAGTCCTTTTCTAAAGATATATAGCTTGGTAAGTTCTTTAATTTTTAACTTGTGTAGGAAACACTTCCAAGCAGATTCATGATTGCTAACTGCTAGCACATTTAGATAGCTTTTCAAAATAAATTCTTTTAACTTCAGATAAGACACTTTGGGCATTTTCTTTTTCTGTTCTTCTTGGGAGATCTGCCCTGCCCTGGCAAAAACAAAATGTGGTTTACAAATGAATATAGAAGGACCCCTATATCCATGGGGGATTGGTTCCACATTCTACTGTGGATACCTGAAATTATGGATCCATGAACCCTATGTATATACTGTATACACATAACATACAAGCAGGAGGGACAAAGGCTACAAGGGGCCGCTCCTGTATGTTGTATATAGGCTGTGGTAAATTCTGGGAAAGTAAAACTGTGGATATTGGTTCCATAGATATGGATGTATGTGAGTTGTAGTCCTGTACTGAGAACTCAACAGTTATACTTTAAAAAAAAGATAAACTCTTCTTCTATATTCAAGGGAAGGACAGCCAGAAAAGATCAAGATTTTTGTGAGCAATATTCAAATTTTAACAATCTCTATTTGCATGAACAGAATGACTGCATGGTTCAATTTTAAAAAACTGAAATTCTAAAAAAAACTCTCCTGGTCTTTCTTTCTAGATAGGAACAAGATTCCTGTCTTCTGGTTCTATGACTCTAGAACACTTTGGGTTCTGATTGACTTCAGGAGTCTGAAATAGACGTTAGTGGGGATTGCTTTTTTACACATTGCACTTTATAGCTCTGCACCTCACATATTTAGGTGATAAAGTTTATATCTGAAAATGCAACAAGTGAATCAGGTAAACATATATTTACAATCCCACATATCATAGTTGTGTGCTGTTCAGGAAGTGGAGATTGGTGCCACACCCTGTGCTGTATATACCACTAACAAGGCAAATCTGCATCTCTTGCCATGTAGCATGCAAAATGATCTAACAGTGATCCATACATAGAGGTGCCAAGTTGTAACTGCAGAATGGCCTAATTCAATAAAATCACAGAACTATACTAGGGTAAACAGCCTGGTGCACAAGTGAAAGGTTAAAGCCAGTTATTCGCAAGGAATATACTGTTTTTAAGAACATAGAGCATACCGGCTTCTGTACAATCTGTAACTACAGATTGTACAGAAGCCGGTATATATATGCCTAAATGAGCTTCTATGGAGTAAGCATTTCATGCACTTTAGAACACTACAGAAACATTATTAGCTCTGAATGCCATTTAAGCCATTCTTTGTTTTTATTGCAACATTCTTGGTGGCCAGTTCAAATTTACAGCACAGAGTGATGTTTCAGTACTGTATAGCAATCCTGACCGTTCTTAATAAGTAACTTTGACAGTTTCACATATGGGCTGTCAAATGTGCACACATTACCTTCTTCTTTCTGGTTTCCCATCCTTTGACCCCATCCTTATGAAGTACCACCACACCTCATAGAAACAAGCATTGTGGCTAAATGGAGGTATTGTTGTGCATTTGTGCATTTAGTGGTCCCATCAGTAATATACACCCTCTATTCCATCACTCTTAAGTGTACAGAGTACCTGCAGTTCTGTTTGGAAGAAGAATTTCTGTGGGCACTGTGTGCAGTCATAGATCTTGTCTTCTTGCCCATGGGCCGAAAAAATGTGTTGCTGCAACTTGTTGGCTTGGACGAATACTGAAACGTTAAAAAGAACAAAATTAACTTTTCGTTATTCTATATCATACACCGAGAGGCCTTGCTTGTGAGCATTTCCTCATTAACTCACAGCAATTGCAAAGGGTACAATTATCCAAGAACCCTGTAATTTCTGATTATACTGTTGCTATAAAAGGCACCAGCCATGATTGCTCAGCTCCACACTGAAGTCCTAATTTTCTTTTCTTTTCTTTGTAAAACAGCCATGCTTACATGTCTGGTAAAACATAATAAAACAACATTTAAATCTAGAATATTTAGGAAAGTATCCTTCCTCTTTTGCCACGATAATTTTCCTCTTACCACAATAATTTCAAAATTAACCAACCCTGCACGAAAAACCACAACAGACATTTTCTTAAAAAGCACCTTGCTACTAAGAAATTTGGGATTAAAACAGATGCCAAGGTTTTTCATTTTTCTTTCTTTTTTTAATGAAAAGTTACATTTAACTAACAGTCCTGTATTTAAATTTTTTAATATTAAAATGTTAAAAATCATATCCCACAGCTGCATTGGGGCAATGTCTATAAATGTGAAACAGAACTCCAGGTAAATTCTCTTTGGGTACTTTAAGATCAACTCTGAGTACACATTGAATGCAAGGGTTTCAATAATATAAACATGTTCAATTTTAATGACTACAAAACAAGGCCCTAAGACTGTGTAACAGTTTACCTAGGAGACATTCTATTAATAATTAAATTGTATATGCCAGAGGCAGTGTTTGGGTTGGCAGCACTGACTTCTGATGGATGCCTGGTGCACTGTGACCTAAAAACGTTTGCATCTACAATATTAATCTGTATAGGCAAGGAAAGGATTTATTAAAGATGCTGGCATTTAACTTTGACTCCACTTCTAATTATTAAAATAATTCTAATTGAATGCCAGCAAAGAAAAAGAAAAGAGGAATTAGAATAGTGTTCTTGTGAATCATGCATTTTAATCACATTTCTCATTACCTTAAAAAGGATTGGATTCCATTTTCCATATAAAAGTTATATTGGTGATTTTCAGTTCTTGTTAATATTCTACATATTGAAATAATTTAATAGCATATTACTCATACAATATCATTGTTTATGATTAATATGCTCTATTTACCCCATCAGCAAACAGGAAACTGTTATCTTTTTTAAAAAAATATACGCATATAGATTGGGATAGAAATTATCTACATACTTTTTAATATATTTTACAAAGCTGCTGGCTAAAATATTAAAGGATTCTTATTATTTTTAATCAAATAACTTGTTCATGTTGAGAACCATCACTAGGGTTACTTTTCAGACTGTATATTGTACACTGTTTTAAAATTTAACCCACTTTTGTTCTTAGAATCACAAGTTGTGTTAAGGGCTAGGCAGCTCAATTAAGGGGTAAGTGGAGTGCCTCATCTCCACATTTTAGTACTGAGGCCCCTCTTCCATTTATCAGCTGCCTATGATTATGGAAGCAAAAGCAAAATCATTCCATATACATACATATAGTGTAAAACCCCTGTACTGTCATTACGCAAACTGTTGAAAGCTAAACTATTTTCAGCTTCAGTCACTATTAGTGCAAGCTATGTAGTGAAAACTAATTGAACATTACAAAGTGTGCCACACCATAGCACTTAAAGCACTCTCTGGGTGGTTTACAAGTTAATTATGCAGGCTACACATCCCCCCCCAGTGAGCTGGGTACTCATTTTACCAACCTCGGAAGGATAAAAGGCTGAGTCAACCTTGAGGTGGCTACCTGGGATTGAACCTCAGGTTGTGAGCACAGTTTTGGCTGCAGTACAGCAGTTTAACCACTATGCTACAAGACTCCTGCTGTAAAATATATTTAACTCTACACAGGAAGGTAATAATCAGTTAGAGCAACTTGCATTTCTACTGGGAATGGAAGGGATGTCATAAATCATGCTCACTAGAGATGGGGACGACTCACCATTTTGGCGAGTCGTCCCACTTCGTGAGTCGTCAAAAGTTGATGACTCACAAAGCACGAAGTTGCCCCCATGAAGTGACAAATAATGAAGTTATTCGTTGATTCATGGGGGGGTATTAAAAAACACTCTGTCCCCCTGCTGCCACCCCCGCTACTGCTGCGCTAAGGGAATCCAGTCCTTAAGGCAGGCTAAAGGAATCCAGGCTGCCCTTTGCAAAGATGGACGCTGCAGCTAATTGAAGCTGCAGCTGCCATCTTCACAAAGGGCAGCCAGATTCCCTTTTTACACACCGTGGCTACAGAGGCCTGATGAAGACCTCCACAGCAGCAGTGACAATTATGGTAAGGGGGTGTTGGTGGGGGTGGGGCCTAAGGTAGGGAGAGGAAGGGGGTGGGTGGCTGTGGGGGGCAGCTGCCTATTGGCCCACCAATCAGCTGACTGGCAGCCGGTAGGCAGAATTTTTGTTTTAATTACGAAGGACAAATAAAAATGGAGAAATATTCGTCAAGCCGTATTTGTCGGGACTTAAAATTTGATGAATATGGATCGATGAATACTTAACAAATCAGCTGCAATGACTTTATGGATGCTATGGTCTGCCAGTACACACATTAAATGGATTCTAGAGTAAATCAACTCTGTCACAGGGAGCTAAAAGGACTACACTGAGGCTGTTGTACCTTGGACACATCATGAGAGGAAAAGACTCACTAGAAAACAATAACAGTGCTAAGAAAAGTGGAAGGTAGTAAGAAAAGAGAAACTCTGAACATGATGGCTTGGCTCCAGAAAGCAAGTCATGGCCTTCTTTGCAAGACCTCAATAGGACTGTTAATGGTAAGATGTTCTGGAGGTCATTAATTAATGGAGGCACCATAAATCAGAAGTGACTTGATGAGGTACAACAACAAGTTGTAGAGTAGTGAAGCCGTATGAGATGGCTAAGAGTAGTGAAAAGAGCATGTGGGTGCACAGAGGAAAAAACAGTACAGGGATATGGAAGCCAGGGACATGTGCTCAATTACATTTTTTCAAAGTATGCTCAGAAATGTATCTTTATAATTTGGTAACAGCTAAAGCATAATAACAACATGGTGTCTGAAATCCTGTAACATAGCATTGTAAGTCTCAACTAGAGTAAGCTAACTGAAAACATGGAATTTATAGAGGAGTGGACTCACAAAATCCCCACTAACTGAATGAGCCTACTCTAGTTGTGAATTACTAAGCGAAGCTAGTATACCATAAATACCATAGACAGGTCTTCTCATACCATCTGTAAACACAAACAATTGTCAGTATTCAGTAGAAGTGACTGAGTGCTGAGTATTCCAAGGCTATACATGAGTGAATCAGATCTGTGTCTCTTCATGTGTGGAAGATATCTTTCCCTTCCACTTCTGCGGATCTGAGTGTGTATACTATAACCACAATGACCCATCAGCTCATAGCACTGCCCTATGATGCAGTAAAAAGAAGTATTACTTTTTCTAGCTTCTAGACCTACTTATTTCAGCCATTTAGATATGTCATATTTCCTTCCTTAGGATTTACTGTATATTTACAATGTATAAGACTATACTTTTGTCTAAAATCTTTAGACTAAAAATTGAGGGTCATCTTATACACAGAAGTAAGTTGAGGGGAAAGCAGGGATCAAAGTGATCCTGCAGGGCTTTGATCCTTTTCCCCCTACACTTGCTAAGCCCCACTTGGATTTCTTAATTTTGGGTTAGAAAAGTAGGGGCGTCTTATATATGGGGGCATCTTACACATGGAAAATTATATAAAACAGGTGGAATTGAATGGCAAGATACAACAGAGACCTTACAATTGTATCACTCTCAGGTGGTGGCCTTCCATTCAGTCTTATCCGGGGCCAGCCTGGCTGTTAGGGACAATGAGACGATCATTTCATAAGCAGCAGCTCTGAAGTGTACAAATTACTATTTAGTATATTAAACTAGCTGATAGTAGTAAGTGACAGGTAGAATAGGCCCACTGAATCAATAAAACTTACAAAGAGGTTGACTCACCACATTTCTACTGACTCGGTGGCCCTACTGTAGTTGTGACTTACTATTGATTTCAGTCACTGAACTTTTAATGCCAAAGTGAGGGACACATGGCTTTTTGGTTTTGGTAGGCTTTGAGCATGCACTTTGATTTGAGGCAGGGGCCATTTGCTGTTCTGTTGCAGGCAGTAAAAGGACTTAGGCCAGCTGTTTCTTCTAATGTAGGGAAAAGATAGGGATAGCTGCATGTTTTCTTCACCAAATTTGTATCATCAGCTTTTCCTGGAGAAGATTATATAGGGGATATACTTTTGGTAAGACCATGAGTACATGTCCCACCTCTAAAGAGCAGATTCACTCCTCAATGCCATACTGCAGATGGCTTTGAAGATATTGTGAAGAGAGGAGCAGCTTCCAAGAAACACAGAACAGAAGGCTTTTAAAGTGTACAGAAAAAAAACGAAACAAGGAAAAGGCTGTGTGGTTCCCAAGATCACACAAATGTAAGAGTGGGTGATACCTTTTATTGGACCACTAAAAAAATCAACCCCTTTATAAACTGTGCAGAAAAAGTATAGACCAGAGTCCGAAAATCGATGGCATCTGTGAGAGGTAATCCCACTCCTCTTAAGGCTGTGGTCTCAAGCATCCTTGAAGCATGTTTTGGAATGTTTACATCCTGCTCCTAAGACCAAAAGGCTGCCACTTACCCTGTGATAGCCCTCCCCCCCAATTGTCTGTCTGAAACATAAAAGTTTCTTTTGGGTAGTGGGGGTGAGGAAAAACAACCCAAAGACACAGCAGCCCCAAGCACAAATTAGGGGTTATAATTTGGTTTATTCACCAGGTAGAAGCAGCCAATTTTACCAAATCAAAGTCAGGTAAATGTTTTTACCTGGTGTACAGAGTTATTTTGTGCAGAGTTATTTTAGTTCAGGGAAAGCGTAAGAAATATTCCTGCCACCAAAATTATCTTCAGTTGCCAGGATCCTGGCAACTCTGGATGGGAAACAAATCCATCTATTCAGAAACTAATGAATGGCTTTTATAGCTTAACAAAAAATACTAGTAATGTGTTCTTCCCACTGTAGCTGCTGTGGTGAAAAACTGCTGCTGAAGACACACACACCCCAGAACAACACAGGGTGTCAGCAAATAGAGGTGTGTGTGAGTGTGTGTGTGTGTGTGTGGGGGAGAAGATCAGAAGAGTTCTCCTCCCATAGAAAAACCATCTTCTGAGCAGTCAGGGCATCTGAATCCCACCTTGAGGTGTATGATAAAAATATATTATGCTTTGAAATGCAGTTCATGTAGACAAATGTCCGATCCTTTTGCACATTTGACTTTTTAAATAATTCCTAATCAATATCACTAATGAGCACAAATCTAATATTCGCACAAAAGCTGACCTGAAGTCACCATCTGGCATGAATGACATCATTGGAAAATGAGCATGAATAAACTAAGGCCAAAGCTGAGAAATGAACTAATCTGATCAGTATACTCACCTGTAAAACAGACTGGACATTTGAAGGTTCCCCCCATTCCTTCAAAACTGTGTTCTATCAGATGACATTGAAGTTTGGCAGGAGAATCAAATGTCTGGTTGCACAGCTTGCATTCATGGTTTAGTCCTTCATCTAGTTGGAATTAAAAGAGTGAAGTATATTGTCATTTGTTACATATGTTACATATGTAGTATTCTGCTAAAGAACTCAGTGCAGTTAATATCTGGTTATAATAATCCTGAATTATATAACTCATCTACTTAACAGTTCTTCATCCCTTTGCAAATGAATAACCCTGTCACACCTCCAAATCTGCAGTAATTTAATGTCTGAAATCTTGTTGCTCAACACTGACATATTATGAAAGGTCTACTGAATTAATGGGGTGAATCAATTCCTCCGTAAGTTCCACTGATTCAAATCAGTCTACTCTAGTTGCATTCTCTTTAGTACAGTAAATTGCAATTAGAGTAAGTCCATTTGAATCAATGGAACTTATGGAAAAGTTGACTCACCAAATCCTCACTGATTTGTTGGATCTGCTCTAGTGTGACTATGCTAAGCAACAGCATTTTAGCCAATATTTGCTTACTAGGAAGAATTAGCAGTATGCATGAATACAACTAGATTTGAACACTAATATAAAATACGGAATGTGTGCTTTTAGCTAGTTAAATAAGAGATGTCTCAGTGTTGTTAAAGTGCATGTGGCCTCACCTCCTCTGTCATTGCTTCTAATGCACAAAAGAAAGAATCTGAAGAGGTGGGAGTCTACTATATCTGTGTAGGCTCCCCACATGAGCCAGAATATCCAAAGTACAAGCTTAAAAGAAATGAATATGCAAAAAGGAATGCTGGCTCACAAGGAGAACCTACACAAATAGACAGCCTGCACCTCTTCTCACTGTCACTTTTGTGTGATTAAAATTAAGAAGGGGTTAGCATTCTACCCTCATTGTGTATGGAGTACATGTGTTTTACAAACAACTGAACAAGGACAAGAATCTAGAGCAGATTAAAGGTGAGCAGATCTGCCACCAGGCCTCCTGTTCCAGTAGCTGTCAGTCTACTGTTAATGTATACAGATTAGTAGAAAATTTACTACAGGGTTCTTCATGTTATTAGTGGGAGATGTGGCGAGGTCAGATATACAGTAGTTAAACAGAGGGAGTGCAGGCTTTTTAATTCTGTGTTGTAGCATGCAAATTCCTACAAAAGAACAAGACAATAAACTAATAGCAATGTCCTTCCTCCCTTCCTATCTTAAGGTTTCCATTTGTGTGTTTTCTTTTCGCTTTCCTCTATGGCCACTGTTAAAACCTTATCTTAAGAATGTTCCAGAAGCTGAGCAAATCCTTGGTTTCTACGTTGGCTCATAGTTGGAAGGAATATGCATGCACCATATGTGTCGGTGAATGACAGAATTCAGGGTCTAGTCTATGTAATTTCTGTTTGTTTTTTGCTTTAAACTCAAATCACCGTCTTGAATAAAAATGCCTCTGGCACTTCTAATGCTTGAGCTAGTTTCAACCCCCATTCTCCCTGTATTAATTACTATCCCACTACAACCTCAGAGGTCCTTTATTTGTTTATTTTTTACCCAGCTACAGGCATTCCTAGTACGACCAAATTGATCCTAAAACCTTCTTTGCTCTGAGCTGCAAGCCCTCCATGCCCTTCCCCCTCCCTCTTACATCTCAGGCCTAGCATTAGTCTTTCTTCCCAACAGTGTTGCAAGCGCCTTTCCTTCCACCATGGGAGCAGTGATAGGTTGTCCTACTTAGAAACAGTTGCTAGGTAAGATGCAGCTCCCAGCTCTGTTGTACAGGGTTCAATTCCCTCACCGTATCTTAGAAAAGGTCCTTTTGTATGTCACTAGCACGTTATACAAATAGTTTTCATCTACAATTCCTACAAGTTCGCCTATTTATTTATTATCTATTACCAATACATTATCTGATTAATAAGAACAACACTGCATCTGGTACATCAGTCAAACATGTTTTAAGCAAAAAAATTTTTTTTTTAAAAAAAAAGCATTCCTCCATAAACACTTAAATATAGAACTGTCCTATGATTGTTTAAAGTAACACAGCATGCAATGAGTGCTAGCTATGGCTGTCAAAAACTGATCAGAACAGACTGAAAAAACAATTGCACTGATATAGTCTGTAGCTCGAGACCAATGTGCCATCGCTTCAATATTGGGTCAAATTATTAAGTACTAAAACCAGGAAGATAATGAGATTTGCATTCCTGATGTTTCTATCGGCAGTGACCCAAATATGAAATTATCCTCAATGAAAACAGGCGCAGTTCACGAACCTGCTGCCCCAATGCTACACTGACTTCTTAATCTGAAAGAAGAGATCAAGTGCATATGCAGTAGCCTGTCTGAAACAACGCTGCGGTAGGTGAGCAGCAAAAGCAACTGTATGTGTTGCTATTCCTTCCCCCTTTTAGAGCTACTACAATTGTTCTGGTGTCAGAAATAGCACAAGCAATTTCCTAGACTCTAAGTCAGAGGCAAGCAACTTGGTGACCTGCAAGGGCCATCAGTCCCAGCCAAGAGTTAAGACTGTGTGGGAATTGTATTATCAAAACATCTAGAGAGCACCTGGCGACCTACCCTTGCTCTTTAGATTTTCTGAGTGTGTGTCTAAGATTTATTATACTGGTGCTGGAATAGTGCTTTTCACTTTGGTCTGCTTGCTTATTTGTTTGTTCAGTGCGCTCACTTACATTGGTTTCAAGATAATAGAATTTCAGTGCATTGGAGATACAAATAAAAAACAATTCATAAATACCAGAAATAATATAAATATACAAAGTAACTGCACGACCATTTCCAGGGTCTTCCTAGATATAGCGCACTCAGAAGAGGTTTACCATCCCCTTCTGCACAGCAATGTAGGACTGTGCAGGTTGTTCAAGAGGTATTGCGATGAATCAAACTCTCAACTCGAGGTACTCCAAATAACTGAGCTAGCCAGCCTTGACGAGAACAGCAGGACTCAGTTTTTTTTAAAATAAGAACCAATTGAAATAACATTTAAATTTAGGGAATAGCTTCCATATGTTGATTTACACGCCTGAATCTTTAAAAATGGTCTTGAGCAAGTTGCACAATCCTAAAGCACCACTAGAATAAGGAACTGGTAAATCCTATCTGGATACTTTATAGCTAGAAAACGCTCTTGGGGATTGTCATAAGTCAGAATTGATTTCACAGGACATAATTAATTCATCATGATCCTATATATGGAAAAGAGTAATGTCCAAACTTTGGAATGGCCTTAATTTCTGCAATTATGATGAAAGCGGCTATATTATAGCTAGGCTGGATTAGAAGAACCAGTTTTCTATGGTTACATACTGTAAAGGGCAGAATGAACATGTTCTGTGTCTCACTGCAGAACATGTGATGAGACACAGAACAAGCTGACTAGCAAAATCTTTCCCTTTGCTAGTCAGAAAGAATATTACTAGCCAAAATAGCTGTCTTTATTCCTGAGTTCAGATGGGCCTTTTTCTTTAAAAAAATATATTGGCAGCCACAGTAAGCAACATAAAGGCCACCAACACTCCACAACAATAGGAGCTATTGAGCTACATATTTGTGTGCATTCTTTTTACCATTTCTTTTGATCACTCCTGCATTCTGGAACAGTAACAAGGGTATGGCAACAACTGCACTAAATTATGGCTGACTCAAAGGGGGCGGGGAGGGGAAAGCAGGTCTTAATTGAGGCCAGGCTAATTCTGAAAATACCCTGGTTTTCAGACATATGTTAACATTTGGCTTTGAAAAGGTCAATTAGGTACACATCTAAGTTCCTCCACATTCTACTACTTGCTGCTTCCTTTGTACCTATTACAAAACTGGAAGAACTAAAAATTACAAATCATAGGGAAGCTGTTCTGCAGACACCTGCCTCTGTGCAAAACTTAAAATGTGAGCTCTCAGTATGGAAATACTTAACGTCATTTCAGAACTGAATAAACAAGACAGTGAAAAGCTACTCTGGCAGTTTACACATGGGATAAATATGAAGTGAAGTGGAGTGCCAGAACATCACTTCAAGAGGTCATTCTCCCTCTCTGCTATATCCACTTCAAAGCTACATTTTTTCAGCAAACCTAAAGGAAAAAAAAAATCTGAAAGTGCTGAATGGCTTCAAAAAAATTCAATCAGAATAATCTGCTCTTTAGAAAGGTGGTGGATGACAGTAACTGGAAAATACTGTCTGACTCATTTATTAAAGTGAAATTCCAAGTCAACTGATTTAATAACCATTAGAATATTCTATTAAGGGTTTAATAGGTTGGCACAGTCCTATTTTTTTATTAAGAGTTATAGATGAGAAATAACCAATCCTATTGAATTTCCAGGTAACTGCTTCTATAGATTATGGGTTTTATATATAAATTTTATGTTATTTGAGAGAGAAAGACAGTCAGAGATAGTTGGTAAATTAAGTATCTACCAGCAGCACACTCATTTTCCCACCATAAACACAGTGGCTTGTTCACAGTCACCTCCAGGCAGTAAGCCAAATGGAGGTCATTGTTAGGAATGGACTACTCAAGTATCCCTCTGACAACAAGAGCTCTTTTTACGCCCACCCCCTTTGTATCTTGTCATATACATAGCAATTCAGTATGCTAAATGACAAACCATTCAGAAAAACAAGATCTGCACGGATTCAATAACAGAAGGCAGAAGGACCAAAGTCTTCCTATACAGGGAAGTCAACAACATGAATTGCTCTTTTGGATGGTAGTAGGAGAACAATATTATGTCAAGATCAGTCTTCGGAATAATTAAAAGGAATAGGTTTCGACTGAAAGCATCCAAATCAAAAATGAAAATAACACATATATTCCTTAATACAGTGGACCCTCGACTTACAGACTTTACAAGTTACAGACTTCTCTGGCCGCAAAATTTAGGTTTGACTTGCAGCCTGAGAATTGACCTACAGACTAGAAAAAAAACAAAATGGAACAAAAATGGAACAAAAACAGCTGGTTACGGGATTAATCGGTTTTCAATGCATTGTAGGTCAATGGAGACTCGACCTACAGACTTTTCGACCTGCATCCACCGTTCCAATACGGATTAATTGCATAAATAGAGGGTCCACTGTACAGTAGATTAAAATAAGCTGCCACTTTTTAAATGAGGTGCCTCAATAGGTCAAGACATACTTTTTTTTACTGAAGCTGAAAATATTTGCAAGTATTTGTTACATCCTTACACTGAAGGGCAAAGTTTAAAAAAGCCAACTGTGGGACATTTTAAAAGATAGTATTTAATCAGAGGTAATCTGCCACTGACAATGACATATTGTAATTCCAGATGCACAGGCAGAACCTAAAAAAAATCAGCCTTCCTCCAGTACCACTCCCCCTTTAATGCTATTGGTTAAATTCTGTCTCCATCCTTGAATTTGAAACAGTCTATTCTTTCTGCAATTTTCTAGCATCCTAAATTGTCCTCATCCACACTGAGTCAATGCTTATCTTTTTCTGATGAGGAGTATACACTGACACTTTAAAGACCAAGTATCAAAATTAACATTGCCGGAAGACTTCCAACATATGCTCATCACTCCTTGGTGATTATAAAGGGCATTCTGTCATTTGCAAATCTCAAGAATTAAGTCCAGAACAAAAAAATAAAATGAACTGAAATAAAAAAAAATTGGACGGGTAGGGGTTTGGCACTAAGGAAATGGAGATGCTAACATTAAAAATACATCTAGGATCTGCTGCAGGGAAATGATACTGAAGTAATCTGCTCTGTGGAAAATATAAAATAAAAGTCTAGTTTAACATTCAGTCCTATCTTGGCTGGAAACTGATGGAGGTGATAGTAACTAAACAACATTTCTGGACAACCTTTACACATCTCTTATATAAAGGAAATCGGATATGTACAACAGTAACAACATCAACCAGCACCAGCATCAAAAAATAAAAATACTTTTCTACCTCTTTCCTGGATTACTTCATTTTATGCTGCAGGCAGCAGTACATACCCCTGTAAAAACTCTGCATACAGAAAGCTAGTATATCAAAGAGAATGCTGCAAGACCTTCAAGGTCCTATGCAGCTTGTTAGAGAGCACATGTCTCAATGCAGTCAAAGTAAAACGAACAAACCTCCTTACGTATGGAAAGTTATATTTTCTCCCCTATATGGAAAAGCTTTTAAAAAATAGTATGAACATTAAAACATGTGATTACCACCTGCAGTCTGAAAGTACCATGTATGCTTGATTTAGTTTTGAGTGGTTTGCAAGAACACGTGGACACATGAAATTCTGCTATACAAGACAAAAATTGGTCTATAAGCCTAGTGTTTTTAGATCAGAAAGGTCTTTCCTAATCTTATTACTGGAGTTCCATTTTAAATCAGAAATGCCAGGGATAAAACATGGGATCTTCTGCATGCAAGCCATGCACTGAGCTCAGGCCTCATCCCAAGAAATGCCATGCTGAGGCACTCTAATGATAATTCTAGTCTTGCATTCTCTCCTCTTAACTGCAGACAAAAGATGCCACAGGGAAGATCACAAGCAGCGAATCATCATGATCGCTTTCTCTATTGTTAGCTTCTAGCATCCAATAGTCAGAAATAGCCTGTACTATAAGAGGAAAATTGTTTTTGCATTGCAGAGTTACATTACACCATTGCTATTATAGCCTTTCTTATATGGAATATTCTGACAATGATTTTATATTTTCCTGTGCTTGAAAAGAAAGTGTAACTTGAAATGATTAGTTTGAATTCAAACTTTATGCTAGCCTAAATGGAACGAGTTCCACTCCTACAACCGACAGCTCGGAAATTTTAGGTGTGTTTTAAAAACAAAATAAATCTTCACCCCTCCGCTGGCATAGCGAATGAGGAATTCTGTGAGTGTAGTCCAAAAGATTTGCCCAATCCTATACCACGTACTGTACTTGTTTCTTAACTGAAATAAAGTGGCAAATCTTATCTATCAATTCTAGCAAGCCTTGACTTACATGAGGTGACCCGAGACAAATGCCTAGGGCAGCAATTTATTGGGAAGCAGCAGCTTTTGCCTCAGCAGCAGATGGAATGGTTTCTCCCTCCACAGAGTGTTAATATAGTGCCTATACACTGGCTATTTTGGAACCACAATTGACAAAAAGAAGAAATACTCTAGAGGAGCAAGAAATAGCTGGGCAAGAGAGAAGTGATGTCAAAAGCAGTGGGAAAATGCTGGGAAGGATTTCAATAGGCTCAGGCAATATATTATCGTAGTACTGATTGGAGCCAAGGGCTAATACTCTTTTGGCACTGATGTTGGGAAAACCAGTTGTTCCTTCAAGCAGAAGAGCTGATGAGGTGACCTTTCGGCTCCCCCAGCTCTTATAGATCTAGCAAGATGCAATGGGTTTGTGCAACCTAGGCAACAAATGCATTGAGAAAACTCTGCTTGGGCTCATCCAAAAAGATGGACTCATCCCTCAAGATGTACATGGGCTCTGCGTGGATTCAAATGCTTTGCCAATAATATTCAAATATCTGTTTATCTGTCCCTAAGCTGCTTAAATTCCTTTGCCTCACTGGTTGCATGATCTCAGTCACTCATCGTTTGGAAACCACTGACATTCTGTCATCTTATGGACACTTTATTAAGCAAAAGTGAAATAAAAATAGTGCCCTGCTAAGCAACTGTTGAGGAAGTGAAACAAATCAGCACTATTCACTTGCCAAGTTCTAACAACGAAAACAGTGAGGATATTAAAATCTACCTATCTCCTGTGGTGCATGCTCCATTTAAGGTGAAACAGAAAACAATGAAACACATCAACTCCAAGCGTTTGCTCATCAAAGGTAGCAGAACATTTCTGACAACCAATATAGGTTAATATTAATCCTCCCTGCTCTACTCCCATTTGTTCCAATGTCACATCAATAATACCTGTTCTTCTGTCTCATGTGGGCCATATGCTCCATTTCCAAAAGAAAGTGAGATATGATTGTGGGAAGGACCTTGTAATTCATGAGATCCAAGTAATACTGAATTTGAAACATTACCACTGCAACCTGAATACCCTTCCCCAGAGGAGTGGTAACGACATCATAAAATCAGAGCCCCGCTATGGGCAATGTAGGATTAGAACTAAGGCAATAGCCAAAATTACTGGATAGTTATATTAGGTGTTCATCTATATAGCAAGCAGCTATTATACCAGTTATTAAAAGCCATGACTTTCCCAAGGTACCTTAGATATTGTAGTTTTATGAGGATACTCAGATTTCTCTACAAGAAGTAAGCCTTGCTCATGGAAATGCTACTATTCCCATGTTCCTTAATGAGCAAGCCATGAAATGCTTTAAATTTGTGTAGCCATTTCCTCAAGTTTCAGGTTTCTACTTGTATGCTTGTATAGTAGTTTCTTTTATCATTCTTCATCAGTGAGTTACATAAAATTATAATAAAATGAGCAATTAAGGCTATATAATATAGGTATGTATTTCTGAAGGGAGAAGTGTTATTAATAAAGGTTACATTAGCATTCTGGAAAACGTATTTTATATCAGAATTATAAAGTTGCGGGCTATTTTAAAGCATTGGTTCTGTCAGTTTTAAAAATAATGCTGCATTGCTATTTTGTTGTGTGTTTTTAGAAAAAACTGGTCATGTTTCAAGAGATAGCTTTCTCTGTTGTTTGATGTTAAATACCTACTAGTATTGCCCAACCGTCTGGGACTTCTGGAACTGGTGGAAGTACTGGTATATCTACCATCGAGTTCTACACAAAAAAAAGACAAATTGGTAAAATTGAAAGAGGATACAGTACTTCATGGATACGTCATTCAGCATAAACTAAATGTTACCTGTTCTAAATTCTGGTCTATAGGAAAAATATATTTTAACACTGAGACAAGTTATCAGTGAATATGAATTCCACATTACAGCGGATCAATCACACAAACTGTGTACTACACACATCAGGCACTCTTTTCTCAAGATGTGCCCAAATAATTGCCAGAATGGTCAGGGAAGTGGAAGAGAACTGAAGACTACCAAAAATATTAATTGACATTCTAAGTGTTATAAATTAGCAGAAATGAATTGAGTCAGATTTCCTTAGGATTACTTAGACTCAGAATGTATAAGCAGAAGTATGTTGATATGCAAAATTTGACATAATGCCGTTTTGTTACATCATCAGCCAGAGTCATTACGTTGTGGGAACGAAGTTATTTTAATGGTGTAATGAGCTTAACATTAGGTCTAAGGCATTTAAAGGCATTTTTAGAGGGGTTCCAACAGAAATTATTCAATTATATGACATTCTCTGTTCATTGTAATGGACATTTCTTTTAACACAATAATGAGGAACAATAATGAATCACTTTCAGAATTCTGTAATGAGTAACATGTAGCCAATTGTATTCTCCAAGGCTTTCACAGCTGGGATCTGATGGTTGTCGTGGGTTTTTCGGGCTCTTTGGCCGTATTCTGCAGGTTGTTCTTCCTAATGTTTCACCAGTCTCTGTGGCTGGCATCTTCAGAGGACAGGAGTCAGAACTTTGTCTGTGCTCTGGTGCAATTTGTTTGGATAGTTGAGTATTTATAGCTGTGGGATTAGCTTTTATCCTTTTCAGGAGATGGGTGATTGTGGTGATCTGTGTGTTTTTTGTTGTGGGTGTATTGTTGTGATAAGTGGGAGAGATTATCTGTCACTGTGATTGATGGATGTCATTAGCTGGTCTTTTAAGTGGAATGATCACCAGTCCTTGTAGCTGGGTAGAGTTCCTTGACCTTTTGCAGGCTGTATTTTTCAGTGCTGGGAGCCAGGCTTTGTCGAGTTTTAAACTTTCTTCTTTTTTGTTGAAGCTCTGCTGGTGTTTGTGGATTTCAATGGCTTCCCTGTACAATCTAACATAATGATTGCTGGTGTTGTCCAGTACTTCAGTATTTTGAAATAGAATTTCATGTGCAGCTTGTTTTAGGACATGTTCAGCTACCGCCAATTTTTTCAGTTGTTTTAGTATGCAGTGTCTCTCATGTTCTTTGATTCTGCTGTGGATGCTGTGTTTTGTGGTTCCAATATATACCTGGCAATGTGGTCAGGTATATATTGGCCTTCAATATACTGAAGTACTGGACAACAACCAGCAATCATTATGTTAGATTGTACAGGGAAGCCATTGAAACTCAACAAAGCCTGGCTCCCAGCATTGAAAAAATACAGCCTGCAAAAGGTCAAGGAACTCTACCTAGCTACAAGGACTGGTGATCATTACACTTTAAAGACCAGCTAATGACATCCATCAATCACAGTGACAGATAATCTCAACAATACATCCACAACAAAAAACACACTGATCATCACAATCACCCATCTCCTGAAGAGGGCATACGCTGATCTCACAGCTATAAGTACTCAGCTATCTAAACAAACTGCACCAAAGCACAGAGTGCTGTCCTCTGAAGATGCCAGCCACAGAGACTGGCGAAACGTTAGGAAGAACAACCTTCAGAACATGGCCAAAGAGTCCGAAAAACCCACAACCATGTAGCCAGTTCTTTAAACTGCCAGCTACATATATTGGTTGTTCAATTGCAGCTCATATATACTATAAACAGATGATAACTTTTAATGATATTTAAGTATTTATAGCAAAATAGAATACAAGCAAGGCAACACGTGCAGATAGAGGAGTTTTGAAGTGTACGGGGTATATTCATAAAATCACAAAATGGGAAAAAGATAAAATAACAATTGAATTTGGCTGGTATGTCTCTCTTAAGACAACACTTAAATCTGGAGTTTAAAATAAAGTCTAGTAGCCTGTCTACAATTTCAAATATATATATCAAAGTTATATCTGAGTGTGGGAGAGGGGAGCAAAGTTTCCATAACTAAATATTAAATTAAGTGCTTTTTTGTTTTAATCTCATAAACAATTTATAAACAAGTTATATTTTTGCAATTTACAAACCACTTACTGCAAAATATTCAGAGTAATCTTATTAAAATACTGTACAGATGCTTATTGAAGGTAAGCTCAATTGATTTCAGAAAGTTTTATTCCAAATACATTTAACATGGATGTGTAGATCTGTTGATGAGCAAACATGGCACAGAATAGGTCATCTTGCTTGGACTGAAACCAGCATAATACTACTGTCATAAATGAGATTATATGCATTTTTATCCAGCAACTGTATTCTGACTGGTTTATGGATTGGTTGAAATGTTCTGAGTTGCTTAGGGACTGATTGATATGACCTGTTTTCACTAGTCCTGAAATAATGGCTCATGTGCTAATCACTATGGCCTGGGTCATAAGTTTTTCCATCTTTTCAATGCCCATGTCCCTCCAATACTCTCATGGGTTGTGTGACCCTCTGGAACAGACGGGCTTGCGACACTGGGGGCTGCAGTGAGAAAGAGGAAATTGCCAAGTATGGAGCACTCTTTCTAGATAGACTCATTCTGACCCATGTCTGAAAGTACTTATGTTTGGAGAAAATGTTTGAATGCTTGCCTTTATTTGTTTTGGGGTTGACTCCAGCACCTGAAAGAGACCTTGGGAAACCTATACAGCTGGAAAACCTATATTCAAATCATAGGAGCTGGAAGGGGAAAATTAATATGGGAAATTCAAGTCAATTCCTGTAAAGCTACAAGTTGGAGTAATATTTAGTGCATTTCATATATACAACATAATTCATAACACAGATGTAGAGTTATGATGGGTGCAAGATAAGTAGGTCATGATATTCCCAGGCTTGTCCTACGTTCTGATATATTTAAGTTCAGTTGAGTGTGGTTATCTACAAAGCCACAGACAGGGCTGTAGGTGACTGCAATGTTCATGTCTCATTCACATGAATTCTCTACAAACAAATAGTTCTTATTTGGGGTTCCCTTGAAGTAGAGAAGGGGAGGTCTTTCAGCGTTACCTTCATTTTCATTGTTTTTGGTTCCTTCTCAATTATGTGATTTTTGGATTTTTGCACTCATCTACGCTGGCGACATTCAATAAGTAGGACTGTTCCCTGCTTGCTGTACATGCATCAAAGGAGAAAAGTATTCTAGAAATAAGTAGTACCAACTCTACTTGAACTCTAATGCAGTGGAATACACCTGGATTCAAACCCATACTTTTAAATGTCAAGCACTGACAAGTGCTGGGTCTCTTCATTTTCAGCTTCTTCCATGTTTTTTGTTAAAAAATGTTAAAGTTCTTTACATTTTGAACATTGGAAAAGATTTGCTAATTTTGGGATTTTTTAAAATAAAATTTAAAAAAGCCAAACTGAAATGAATTTCTCCTTAATTTTTCTGTTGAAGATCATTGTGGACAGAAGAGTAGGTTTGTCTGGGAAACATGATACTGGGAGTAGGATCATCTGTACAACCCAACTTCCAGCAGGTAATGTGAGCAGGATTCAATCCGGATAAAAGAGCATGGAGAATATGATAGGACCAAGTAAGGGCTCAGAAGTGAACCAAGTCCTGGCACTCCTCATGAGACAGTCTTCTCAATAGAACCAGTCTCTCCAAAGACATGGTGCTTCTATAGCAGGAAGTACACTGACAGGTACTTAGAACATCCAGTTCAGTTAATTACTATTTGGCAATTCCCCAAAACAGGGGAAAAAGTAAACCAATGTGAGACCAGTTATAGATAAAGCATGGTTTATGTTATGTTTGATTCCCCCCCCCATACCTACATTTTACTTTTTAATCATCAGACAGTATCTCAGACTGGCCTTAGCAAAAACCTTACACTCTGAAATATAGCTCTGTTTAAATCGTATTAAATCATAGCTCTGTAAATGGACAGTAACTTTAGAGTGCTGTTAAGTCCCACTTTCTTACATAACTTCGTCATTCCTCCAAGATTCAGAATGGCCCTGAGATTCTGAAATGCTGCTATTCATCACCTTATATTAATTACACACCATGCCATCCTTTTCATTCAACGCCGTAGATTTTGGGTGCAGTCCACCAGTCTGCTGCACAGCCTTTGTGCTGGTGGGGCTTGTATAAGATTCCTCCACAATCCCTACTGGAATAAATGGAGGTTTCACAGCAGCAGTAAAATAGGGATCTGCACCTCTATCCATAAGAAGAAAGGCTATAAATTGACCCCATGCACTCCTTTTTCACATAACTGTTCTATATTTCTTTTTTTGTGCTAATATATTTCAGTTCTTTATCATCGTAACCTGCTGTTCTCTTTAATTGCTTATTGTTATTAATTATATAGTGGTAATGTTGTTGGCTGCATGAACCATTTGGCTGTAAAAATGCATTTATTATTATTGCCATTGGAGCTGCAGTAAATTGCCAGGGTTCTGTCTAGAGATAAATGCTTTTGAATGTTCATCCAATAAAACTTGAACCTGGATCAAACTAAGATTTTTATCTCTCTTCTTTTGCTCCCCTTTCCTTTCTTCCTTGATCCCATAGCACCCCAATACTGTTTCATTACGAATGTGCTTTATTACTAGGGTCTCCAATAACAATCTTATCACAGTTAGATTATTAATAATAATCATCTTGCATTTGAGGGGGGTGTTATTCTTTTGCACTTTGGGTGTTAAAGGTTTGCAACTTGTTCATGCGAAACAGTATTCAGATATAACACTGTGGGGGCAAATTCCACTCTAGGCTCTAGAACAGAATTTTGCTCTAGGCTCTACCAGTTTTAATACAGGGATAAGAAACCTTCACATGCAATTAGTATAGCAGTGACAACTATTACCAGTGCAGCTGCTTTGTAAGCC